TACTAATCCAAACGGAATGATTCAGCTACGTACAGTGCTTTGTCCCGGGGCAACTTAGACAAGGCCTTTTTTACATGCATGGCTTCCTGCTTGCTAAGCCCGGCACAGCCTAGACCAGCTTCTCTTGTTGCTGAACAGTTGAATTAGTTTAGTTAGATTTGATGCCGCTGCTGCTCTGTCTTTCAATCAACCGCCCCCGTCTATTTTTCATTTGTTATCAGCGGCAGCATTTCGCTCGCGGCTCACCAGAAAACTGCGCGGGCGGCCCACACCCTTTTCTCCTGCTGCCATGTTTTCCCTTTTTCGCTCCACTCCCCTTCCTTTTCACCCTCCCGTGGCTGGGAGCGTCCAATGATATCCGCGGTACGCGACCCTTCAGCTGCTTCTTTTCCCGCCTTTCGCCTAGAAGAGGGAGAAGAGAGACCCAACGGGCCTAGGCCCAAGGGGGCACAGAGCATTTTTTTTTTTTTTTGGATTCCCATCAAAGGATGACCAGAGGGGGGGGGGGGGTAAAGAAGACTTGTTGAGGGTTATTGATAAACACTGCTGCCTTGTGTATTATAACACGTAGTAGATTCTAAATAATATATGATGATGATGTAGTACAGTACGGTAATATCACGGCAAGCCGTATCAAGTACATGAGCCGGATGCTGCGCCCACGACCAACACGTACGTCCGGCGTACTCCGGGATGAGCTGTGGGTACAAGGTCCCAAAAGCCAACTTATAACATACCTGCCTCGTTGCATTGAAGAATCAAAAATGTCTTATATATATCCATGCTACTTCATTCATTGGTCTTGTTTTTCGTCTAGTTGCAGATGAAACAATTTTACATAATATGGATCAAAACAGAAAGTTTATTCGCTGTGCTACGCATATTACCGTAGTCGGGTCTTTAATTACATGGATCGGAAGAGCTTAGCGGTGATGGAAGGGCTGCGATGATGTGTAACTGGCGTTGCAGGTCTGTATCTATAAAACAGGGCGGGCTTACATGAGAGCCTTGGCTGCTACTTGGGTATATTCTACCTTCCATTTGGATCATGCTACCGAAACATCGTATCCGTATCAGATGTTGAGGCGAATGCTGGCAACTTCGTTTTTGCGCGCGCGTGCGTTCCCCTGCCGTTCGGTGGCAATCCTATGTACATGTAGTTAGACCCAGACCTATGCTACTATGCTGCGACCCAGCAGACGGCATGCACCCATCTCAAAGTGAGCAAAGCCCAATACGCCAAGATAAAGCAATGCAATGTAATGTAATGTCATGTAATGTCATGTCTTGTCCTGCAATAAAAGAGCAAAGATAACTGCAGAAAAGCATCCGTGTGTAAATAGTAACCCGCGGATTAGCAAAACTCGAAGCGCATATAAACTGTTACGAAGCTTGAATGTCCATCATCTACCATCGCCGCAGATATCAATGCAACTGGCATGGTCCAGGCCCACCCATCCGTCCGTGGCTGGCCGGGGGTATCAGAACGAAATCCTGCTGTAGCTACTACTCAATCTACTATACTGTAAGCCTGGTATGTCGCACCGACTAAGAAAGTATTCAGTTCGGAGCCTCTTTTTTCTCGCATCATCGTCACCGCAAGCAAGAAACTTTGTTTGATCTGCACAGACGCAGGAGAAGATCCAAACCCTAGCCTAGGTTCGCAACCGAACGGACTATCAACCAAGGGAAAATGGACTACGTCAAAAGTGGGCTTCCTTCTCTCGCTCCCTTGACTCGTGGAAAATGAAGCCCACTTGCCTTCTCCTTCTCGTGACTGGGACTCGCTTTGAACCCGTTTGAGCTTTTTACTTGATATAGTATTGGATGATGGATGCATCACACTCCGTATGGAGTACATGCCATAATATCATTTTCTACCTTTGCGGTGGCAGTACCGCTACCAGAGCCACCTAGACTGCGACAGTGCTAGTAACAAGTACCTACCTATGCATGGCGTCCTGCGTAAGACATTTAGTATCTTCTTTGCTTCTGTGAAAAGCCGTTTTTGTCTCTAGCGTGCAGCGAATCGGCAGCGCTGCTTGGTAAAAGAGGGGAGAGGGGGGAGCAAGCAAGCAAGGAGGACGAACAAAGGAACGTTTACTCCTTGTCCGGTGAACAGGGCCGGGTTGGTATAAGTGATCGTTCTTGGAGTAGGTAGCACTACCCAGTACCCAACTGCCTTCTTGACGGTGTGGATTCCAGCACAGAGAGAGAGAGAGTTAAAGAGAAATGCTGTGTCGTATGTAAGATGTGATATTTATAAGCCACGCTCGTTTGCAGCAATGTTATGTAGCTGAGATGCGCAAGCGTGGGGTTAGAAGCAGGGGAGAGTGAAAAGGGTTTAGAGAAGGCCTTCTTTTCGTTGCCGCTGTTGGTTTTCCTAGTTTTCCCCCTTCTTGTTCCTTCCTTCACTGCGGAGCTACTGGTATCCCGAATGCTGCTAACAGACGGTGGCTGCAAGATGCACGGTGGATGGTACTTTGTAGGTATGCGAATCTCTCTTCTCGTGGCATCCATCAGCTGGCTCGGCTTGCATGAAAATATACATCTATGCTTACAAGTTTGATCCCGCCTGACTATATTTGTGTAATAAAAACCTCAACATGCCGCATTTCTCGTTTCCGGAGGACGTATGCAAAGGAATACGGCGATAAGTGTTCGACCTACGTTATTCATTTACAAAGTGAGGTAGTGCTTCTCGTAAACGCTCATGCCTACCCTTCAGACACGAAGAAAAGGCCCCGTTGACCCAACTCCCCTTTGAAGTCCTAGCAGGGGTCCTTTATTGGCTGCCAGGGACTGATCCAGGCAGGTTCCCGCAAATGGTCCCTAGGATGACCAGGGGGAGGGGCAATATCCTCTTAATACTGTACTGATTTTTGGGGGCGAGGCCTCGAATTTGATGTGATGCGTTATACCCGCTTTATGTTATGTTAGGTGGGTCGTGGCAAGCAGGGCGGTTTCATTCCGTTGTAATGCGTTTGCGATTCTCTCTCTGATGCTATTACTCACAAAGAGTAATCTCGTTGGTCATTCAGCCGCCTTCTAGCGAGATGTTGCCGTAGCAAAAAGAAGAAGAAAAAGGAAAGGGAAGCAAATAGTATCAAAGTGGCGTGTTTCGTATGTAAATGAAAATGGAACACGGATGCCGTGTCTCGGCCCGTTGGGATATACAAAGCTAAAAAAAACAATGCTAGAGGCATCGCAGGAGTCAAGGTTGCCTGCGCTACCTACCAAGGCAACAACCGGGCTAAGAAGCTTTCGATATTCATTTGCAGAAGCACGGAGCACGGAAGCAAGAAATGAAGACATTAGTGTTAAGATCAAGGCGTGGTCTCAAATGCTTGCAGCTCTCGAGTGCCCCTGATCAAGCCTGTAGTATAATACGCTGAAATGCGTGAATAGTCGTGTGGTGCTAGTCCAAGCGATATCAGGCAGCATTAAGCGTCTATAGGCCACTATCAAGGCCCGTACGAAATCTGCACATCAGTCTCCAAGACGAACATGACGAGTTAGCCTAATGATATAGTACTCAAGCGAATTGCACAAGATTGCTATGCTCGGCTGCCAAAAGAAGATGATGTCCATAGACTCAAGCATCAACCCCGATTTCGTTTGATACTCGTTTGCAGAGTCAATCTAGCATCCCGCCTCCAATGGACCAATCACAGCCCATAGAGTATTGAAGGAGGGGCGTGTAGCGCCGTTATTTGAACACGGCTGACTTTCACGAGGGTGTGCCAACCAGATCAAGAACGAGCAGCAATGGCTCCAAGTCAGCCATCTCGGCCATCATGCGGAATCGGGAGCATCAGCGACCGCAGAGAGCCCTAGCTGGTGGCTGTTCAATGATGCCAACGATGCTTGAGAAGGCATATGCATTGCCATCAGAGTATAGAACTGGGTGCGCCGGTCCGGTAAGGTGTGGCAACTGTGTGACGCCCTGATCTCCTTTTTCTTTCCAGCTTTATTAGTTTCAAAAATCACCACGGCTTGCACTAGATGATCCAGCCCACTGGTCCAGCAAACCCAAGGCTGGCTCAGGTGATTGGATCCCTTGTAGCCGTTTCGTTTGGCGCAGCCAGGCACTGATGGTCTAGGCGAGGGCGAATAATGCTCGAGGCTCGGCTTTGTGCGACGACTCGTGCTGGAACCATCATCGTGAGGCGTTTCTAGCCCGCTTATCCTGCTGATGAAGCGGCTCCGATTGCGTGAATCATTTGGTGGCGGCCTGCATCGATGTCTCATAACATGGCATCCACCAAGAGAGGGGAAAGAAAGTAATAAGCAAAGGTCAAGATTCGGCAAAGGCAAGAGAAGTTTGGTGGCTCAGCGACAGCCATCCAATTCCAGCCAGCCAATGTACGGGCAGTCGAAAGATGGCTGTTCAGGTGGCCCGGATGACCGAATCAGAGAAGCTTATCAGAGCTGGTCCACTAATAATGCTCCGTACTTTTACATATTTAACAAGAAGAAGATTCAGGATAATAAGCAATAGCGTGCCGGACTGCTCACCTACATAGCTTGTCATCAGACACTGTGTGGAGGGACGGACTGAGCTACCATTTCATCTTCAAGTCGCATTGTGTTTGGAGCCTGGCGGTGTCTGGGCGAATGTTGACGCTTCCGGCATCAGAAGAGAGGAGTGTATTGAGTTCAGTCTTGTTCACTCCAGATAGGCCCTGCTGTTGGGCGCTAGAGCCAAATGAAATTTTGTTTGCCTTTTGCCTTGCGCAACACGCGGGGCGAGACCAATATTGCAAAGCCTAGCAATGTACAGTAGCACTCGGGTCTATTAAACAGTGGCTCTCGGCGATGGGGGGATCCATGATGGCGATAGTCCAGGTCCACACACTTGGAGAGCGAAAAGACTCAAGTGCCACAGGCAGTCTTGTACTGTACATGCAACTTGCAACTTGCGACTTGTCCATGGCAAACCAACGCCCGGCCGGGTCCCTCCCTGGCCGGTGGGCTGGCGGGACTAGACTCATCCGCGTCTAAAGAGGCTGCATGTGGTGGTGAATCTTGTGACGGCCACATGAAGGAAGGACTGCGATTGCAGCATGGCGCGAGAATTCTGTCGAGATTATGGCATCTGATCCATGCCAGCAGGCACTCCGTACAGTATATTGCCTGTAGCTGCTCTTGTACTTATAGCCTGATTTGGCCTGGTGGCCAGCTCCAAGGTTCAGGCTGGCTTCGGCTTGTCTCAGCAAAGGGCCAGACAGCCATCGTCTGTGCCATTTGGCCTGGAGCCATTGGTTCTGTTTCATAGTGGCCCAACAGCGACTGCTTGCGCAACAATCCATCATGGGCCCGGCATCCAGAGATGGGTTGTCGGGCTCCTCGGCTGTGACGCTCGGCGACGCCATGGTGATTTCGGTTGCTTGTGATGGACATGGCAAACGCTTTCAGATGCTAAGACTGCGTCCCCTGCCATCGCTGGCATCTCCAAGTTCCACAATCACGGGAGCAGTGGAAGTGCTACCTGTATCAAAACCTGTAGCAAAGGCTCCATGGCCGTCCTCACGTTAGTGCATGCAATGCCCTGCACGATGGCGCTGGCCCACCTCGAACGTCTTGCGATGCCGTACGAGCAGTAGCGGTTACTCTGCAGTCGTGTGATTGGACGACGACGGTCTATTTCCAAGTTTGATGCTGGTAGAAAGATGTGGTGAAGGAAGAGGCCATCGTATCTTATCGCAGTTGCTTGTACTGCAGGTACTTGGCCACCCGCTCAGTATACGTCAGTACCTACACGAGGTATCGCGTTGTAACCTTGGCATCCAGGCAGCCAAATAAGCCTGGACAACCCAGTAAACCCGGACAAACACCAACAAAAGACCAGAATATCTCCTCGCCAGCGTCCAACCTCCAACCTCCAGTCCATGCACTCATTCACTGCGCGCACTTCGTCCCGGCGTCAGTGGTGCACGCGAGTCCCAAAGCGGGCCAGGCCCATCGCCAATCAGCCTCGATCCTTCTGGCGCCAAGCTAGAGTCGCTGGATGGAGCACCGCCCGCGTACGACCAAAAGACATTCGTTGCAGGCTCTAATATAGGGCCTTGAGGGCCTAACAGGGCTATGGAAGTCAAGTACAGGCTGTGCAGTACAGTATGGCACTGCTCTAACGGAAAGACACTCGTTGGCATTGCGGAAGTCGGTGGCTGATATCAAACGTTGCCCCGATGCCAGCCATGATGCTTCATGCTCGGGTTTTGCTGATTCGTTTGCAGTCTCCCAGCTTCCTGCTTGTGCACTGACCGTCAGCATCATGCGACGCCTTGTCCTCATCCCACCACACCGGCTCCTCTGATCCAACGTTGAAGTGCTATTTGCGTGCACAAATGCGCCATCCAAAGACGACAACCTTGAACCCACTCCCTGGCCCAGCAGCGCTTCTTAGCGATCGGTGGCACATCCTGGACGACGCCACAGACACTGACTGCATGTACAGTAAATGGTCGGCCGCAGCGTGTACAGAGCTAGAGCCGCCCCATGCCTCTGCACACCACGCGCCAACGCCTCTGCAAATACAGTCATGGCATCACGAATGACACGGCGATCATCTTTGCTACTAAAGTGGTGCTATCAGCTCCTGAGCTGCCGCCACGGAGTTGCCAGCATGGTATGGTACATGATAGCAACCAAGTAAACACACGTTGCTGCATGTTACTTTCAGGGCGGATTGCAGAAATAGTGATTCCTCGTGTGCCATTGGAATCGACTTGCTGTATGGGGCACGACTCCTCATGCTTCGCAGTTCTCACTATTTAGGGCACTACTTGCACGGAGTACCTCCTCTTCAGAGTCGTGAGATAGGCATGCAATATCGGCATGCAGTCCACTCTTGGCGACTCATCTTGAGTGGTCCAGACGCCGTCTAGCTCGGGCGCCATGTCTGTTCCGTTGTCTGCCACCTCTGTTTGTTTTCTCATTTGCTCGCATCCTTCACTTTTTTCTTCCCACCGGGGTAACATCAGCTGTCAAGGCGGCAACGAAACGCAGCGCCCGTTGGCTTGGTTCGAGCATCGCTGCGCCCAGTCCGCAGGGAGATGAGTCGTGGTTCTCGTCATTTCAGGTGCTGGCCATTCTTCACCGCATCCAGACTACTTACTGTACCTACTCCCATCTGCGGCGACGACGATGATCCCCCTTCCAAGCTGCTATACTTGGCACGCTCCCTGAAACGGAGCACAGCGACATTCACGGCTGGATCGGACGCAGCTGAGGCTAGATGGGGAGCCGCGTCTCTCACCATGGCCCCGGTCGCTATAGACACGTTCCGGTGACACGGCGGAGCGCCGGATGGCAGTTCCTGCTCACTTGGGCTTAGGCCGCCCTTATATGACGGGCAAATCCAGCAGGTTTAACTCGAGAGTGCCACCGGATTCCAGGCTATGTGCAAAGTTCGGATCACGTCTGCGCTAAAGGTAAACCTCCTTTACCCGGGTGGGTTTTCGTCCTTGCAAGTAAACTCCAAAGGCGCCATACAGTAGCACGCTTTCATGAATCCTTTGCTGGACGAGTTTCAGCAGACGTCAACCCTCGTCTGCTTTGAGCCAAGCTCCACTTTGCTGATAAATATCCCTGGGAGGCGTCAAGTCTCTTTACTTGTCGGCCATCAGGTTTTAACGCCAAGCACAGTCTGTTGGCGCTTGCGTTGTTGATACTACAGATAGTAATACGGAGCAACTCCCCTCGAAACGCAAGGTTAGCCCGGTAATGGCTGTCCATGTCTGGCTATATGCCTAGCTATTTTTGCCGCTGTCTCCTCTTGCAGGATAATCGGAGTGAATAAACTCGGCACAGCACAAGCCGGTTACATCAGCGGGATATCGTTGCAAGTTTAGCAGGACCCAGTGGGCTCCCAGCCGGGTTTGATAGTCGCACCATGCCGGGTCCTCCATGACGAACGCCGCCGAAGTAAATCGCTGTCGTGCAGGACACGGCCTTTCGAGGCCAACCCTTCGATATGGAGAATTGTGTTACGAACTAATTCATTTTGCCTGTCCAAATGACTATCAATTACTTGGGCTTGCCATAGGACGCGTAGTCGCTGCCTGCTCTGCTCTACTTCGTTTTTGAGTTTATGGACTATGGCTCCTTGTGATGGTGCCTAATGATGGTTATCAGATGCGTTCCTTGGGTGTTCTTTCGGCTATCGGGCTGTCGGCCTCGGAGTCCGATGAGGGGAAGGAACTGGCTTCATAACGCAATCGACTGCTGTTCTGTGATGATCATCCATATGTCCAGCATCACTACTGCTGCACCTTCTCCGCACCAAAGCCTCGGAGACCGAGAGGTAGCTTGATTGGCAAGACAATGAACTGAGGGAGTCATGAGCGACTCTTATTTCGCCAAAGAGACAACTCAGTAAAAGCTTCCCATCGATGTCTTGCCACAACTTATCTTGAAAGAGAATATCATACTTTTTCTCCATTCTCGGCTCTAATCAACCATGTCCAAAAAGACGACTTCTGCGGCTCTGTTTCCCAACGCCAAGGTGGCCGCTGAAGTAACGACATACTCAGCGTCGAGTTCAACTGCATTGCCAAAACACCTCGTGGACTATCACGCGTGGGTGGATGAGAACCGTCCGCAGGATGCGGCTTACATGATTTCAAATCTGCAGGCACAGAGTCTCATCTTCTTTGCAAGAGCTTTCGGTGCTAAGCGAGTTCTCGAAATCGGCTCCTACGTTGGCTACTCTGCGCTCGTGTGGGCGCATGCCCTTGGCGAAGATGGCAAAGTGACCGGCCTTGAGTTCTCAGAGGAATACGCAAAGATTGCCAATGCCACTTTTGAGAAGCATGGGGTGAAGAATGTGGAAATCATCGTAGGGGATGCGCTCCAAACGTAAATCACCGGTTTGCCATAATGATCCTTTGTTCTTCCTGGCGGCTAACAAAAGATTCAAGGTTATCAGCTCTGAATCCTGAGGAGCCGTATGATTTGATCTTCATTGATGCCCAGAAATCAGGCTATCCAAGTTATCTCAGGGATATTCTGGCTGGATCTCAGCCTGGTTCAACTAATCGGCTCCTTCGTCCAGGCGGCTTCATCGTTGCTGACAATGTCCTTCGACGTGGACTGGTTGCCGATGGGAGCGAGGATAATCCGAACTGGCAACTACAACGACATGTCGTGCACGCGGAAGAGGATCTTGTTGCTCTCCGTGAATTCAACAAGGCCTTGGCAACCCATGAACGGCTGGAGGCGCTCCTGCTGCCGGTGTTTGATGGTGTCGGTTTTGCGAGGCTACTCGATTAATTTGGCCATTATTGAAATCTGCGGGCTCTTACCTGAGAGAAGGCATCAATCTCGAGCTGTGTTTTGGTCTTTAATGAGCAAGTGGCACTGTTTGCTACGGAGCGTCTTTTGCGCGATAGAGCGAGGAACCTTCCGCCGATATACACGATCTGGACGAGACATGACAATAGGGTGCTAAACTTGGATATAAAAAGAGAAGATGTCTTTCTGATACACCACCTTTGATCATTTCATTTTCATCCTGTTGAATCTCTTTTCTTGTGAACATTTGTGCTTTAGGATTTCCTCAACATCCCAAGTCGCATCAAGTCCTCCCCTGGTGACAGGGCAATGAGACCATGCAGGGATGACTATTGATTTCATAGCAAAGGCGCCTGGCCGCCGCTACGCGAACGCGAAGCTATAATTAGCTCCTGTGGGAGCCAACCAGCCATTGCCAGCACGGGCTTACTTGTATTTGCTACGGTTAACAATCCGTAAGACGGACATTCTTGCCACGTCCCGTCATGGTGGGCCTGGTATCGAGTGGCATCCGGTGTGGCGGCGAGACAAGCAAGGATCTCCTGCGTATTTCGTCTGCGAATAATGAATGGCAAGTGTCATCGTTATGGGGAGCTCTAAACTCGCTACGTTTTTTTGCCTTGCGGGGTTGGGAGCGTTTTAGATGCGGGTTTGGGTGACCGGGTTGCTTTCTCAACGACGGTTTGTACTTGTTATGAATTACGCGGCCTAGTTGGTGATATGTGGTGCGAATTGGCAACTGAGACAGACTTACATGGATACTATGTATGCAAAGTGCTGGGGGCTGGGCGTGAACCGATTCTTACTTGTACTCTGAATAGCTGATCAACGGGACTACCTGTGCTCCGTGTCTTTGTAGCTGCTTTGGCTGGCTGTAGCTTTTCGTCTTCGGATTGTTGGTGGGAATTACACCGGAGGAGGGGGAGATGTTTGCCCGCTGACAGGGTATAGGGGGGTTGGAGTTGGCTGGGACGTGGATAGTTGTAGTTTGTTACTACGATGTGCTATGTGCCTACCTAGTGCTTCCAGATTGCAACATTGGCGTTGTAAGTTCTGTCATGTGTATGAGCGCTGAGCACGGGTGTGCTCTTGCGTGGCATTGAAAGCCATGTAGCTGGATTGGGTGCGAGTGATATAATACGCTCCTGACGATAATGAAATGCTTTATTGGGCATACAATTTTTGGAGCATTTGTGTTGGAGCTTTTCACTCAATATGTAGTATCATGCACCTAAATTAGATAGTCCGTAGGAGAGTGAGACACTCGAACCTCGGCTGAATTCATACTACCAACGTAAAGTAAATGCAGACAAAGCAATTCGGCTACTATTATCGAATTTGCTTTATCCTTGTTAGCGTGTGCCGAGTGTTAGCTTCTGGGGTATTAGTTATCACCAGTGCTAGCTTCGTTTTGCTAGCGAGCTGAGTTGTTGGCGATATGAAGCTTTTAACCGCAAGAAGGGAAGAAGGGATCCATTACTTTAAACAGGAGTTGGCCGGTGCCGTCCTTCTATAGATTTTGGGCTTGAGAGCAAAAGTGGAAGGTAGTGGAAGAGAAAGATCAGGTATCGCGAGTTGATGGGGAGTTGTAATGGTGATTGACCTGTCTGTTTTGGGGATTGTAAACTTGGTATTGGCTGGCGTGTAAATGAATCGAGCAGTGTATATCTGCCTGGAGCTTTGCAAAGGAGCAGTAAATATTCATAGAAATGGATTCACAACTTCACGTCAAGAGGCACAACTGGCAACTAAAATCTCATATACTTTGAATTTATAATGGCTCACAGCCCCCATCTAGATGTTAGATATTTTCTTCAACGCTATGAATAACGCCGGCAAGCAACCCAGCGTATGCTCCCATGCTCCCATCCAAAGTCGACCATCAACATTGCTGCTTCTCATACTTACACGTCTGCATATCATTGTTGCAGCCCCAAATCATCAGATGCAGGACTACTCGCCGCAGTGCTGTCTCCCGCCTCAGACTTGGCGACCTCTTCCACTACTAAATCCATCCACCCGTCGCCACCAGTGCGCATAACATGCAGCGTGGACAGACAGTCCCCAAAATGCCTCTCTCTGCGAGTCGTTCGCCGCTCTCCGCCTTCCAGTGCCGAGTACGCGCTCCTCGTCGTGCGCATTCGCTTGCGCTTGCCGCCCTCGCTGAGGAGATTGCTTAGCTTTAAACGTCTCTGCATGAGTTGATGTTCGTATGCCACGATGCCGCGGATCCAAGGGGCGACGTCGAGGACGATCAGTTGCATTGTCCGATCAAAAACCGATGGATCGAGGTATGTTGTTGGGACGGGCTTGGGAGCGATAGCGATGGGGTCGAATGCAATGGCAATGTCCATCCTGGTTGTTTGTGGAGGAGAGTATCGGAAAGATGAATCGATGATGCAGACTGCCTGTTCCTCGTCAACAGGCTTCAGGACTGGGGCCTGTGGTGAGGCCTCATCCGACTTGTCTGCAGTCGATTTACGCAAAGCTGCGCGAGCCAAGGACATGATGGATGTTGACATGGCCTTGTTTGGCGAAGCATAATGCACGGCAGGGTGGGCTTCCAGTAGAGCTTGTCCTATAGTATATTCGTCCGTGACGTGGCTTGGAAGGTCGGGCAGCGTTGGATCCAGTCTCTCCTGTAACTTGATGCCGTAGGCGCCTGCAGAACAGAGATCCGCACAGCTCATAGCACTGCAGAAATCGTCATACGCCTCTAGCATTCCTAGCGCTGTTAGACTTCCCTCCGGCGTCGTAGTAGCTGCGCTCCAGGAATTCATGTTGGTACTGTTGCACCAGTCTCCCATGTCGAAGCCCCAAAAGTCCCAGGCTTGGTCTATGGCCTCTTCCTCGGCAGCAATTCCTCTACTAGAGACAATGGGGTCGCGGTTGACCCATCCCATGCCCTTCTGGTAGGTGTCTTCGCTGATGACTCGAACCACGTCGCCCTTCTCGTCAAGATCGGAGCCTTTGGGCCAGCGAAGATAGAACCAATCAAATCCTCCTTTGCGGTCGCCAACTCCGATTTGACACCAGTAGTTTAGCTCCGTTATGGTTGCCCTCAGGTCGTTATTGCGAGAACTATACAATGCTTCCACGGCCGATCTCTGAAGAGCATGGCCTTCGTTGGCAGCAATAAGGAGGCACAAGTCCACAGCTGAACCTTGGGGGGCTGGTGAGAAGCGGAAGATTCCATGTAGATCCAAGGTATCTATAGGCACTAGGCTTTCGTTGTTGCATGTCATGATAAAAGGTCGTTTGGACTGTGCGATGAGACTCGTCAATGTTGTCCAAAACTGCTTGTCTTCTTCAAACAGAATATCAACCTCTTCGAGGAGAATGAGAGACTGCTTCTGGCTTTTAGGCGGAGCTTTCGTCTCTTTGTCAGCCTCCTGTTTGGGCTGCTTTGTGCCGGGCTTCGTGGGATGTGTATGTGTATTCGCCTTTGGTTTGAAAAACGACGTCATCATGCCTTGCTTCCCTGAGCTGATATCGTTGGCCACCTCTTCTGGATCAATCGTGGTGGCTTCAGCTCGGTTGTGTTGCACCAGGTGATTCCGTGTCATATCGCCGACTTTTTCTAGAATGTCCTTGCCACTCCTTCGACTACCCGAGTTGATCTCAAAAATTTCAAAGTCTAGCTCCTTTGCGGCCGCATAGACCGCAGCTGTTTTGCCGCTACCATGAGGACCGCTCAGGATGATGGCATTCTTGAGACGGTTACTGCCTCTGCTTGTCGAATTGATTGAGCGCATCACAGACTTCTTGACCAGTGTCGAGCCGGGCAAGACGGCCCAGTCTGCTTCGTTGTCGGAAATCTCATCCATCTCAGCCTCCTCCGATTCGCTTTCGACGACGAAGCCGTCAAGTTTATTCTTCTTCCTCTTCTTCTTCGGTTTGCCTTTCCCCTTGTCTCCTTCAGAAGTCCCAGATTCCACAGACTCTACTCTGAGAGCGTGTAGCCAATCGCTAAGAAGGAGAGCTTCTCTTCCTGGCTGTAACACCTGCGCGACCGTTGTGGGCGCGTACTTTTGTATCCAGCTGCTACTTTCACACTGTGATTTATCGAAAGCTGAAAGTTGCGTGGAGAGTGAGTTATAGAGACGGCTAATGGCAGGATGGATTTTGGGAGGCTTTTGGCCGGCAAGCTCGTCGACATCAATATCAGCTTCATCAAGGCGCTGATTAGTCAAATTGCTTTGTAGCTGGGACCGAATTCGTCTCTGGAGTTTTCGACCACTCTCGAAGTGCCTATGAGGCAGTCGTAGTTCGGCGGGCGCTGGTAAAAAGCTATCGTCATCTTTAGGGAGACTCTTCTGTATTCTTCCCATGTCTAAGCCATGTAGAAGATGTCGCATTACAGACTCGCGTGGTCCAATAGAGACGGCCGTCCTTTTTGACCTCCTGTGCCTTATACCAGAATCTCGAATAGTTGCCCTTGAGTGTGGAAATTCGCAGTCACGTACATGTGCCATCCCGTGCGCCGGCCACAGCGGGTACATGGCACCAGGAACCTTGGTACCTCCTGATTTTATTCCAAACTGGATAGCCTTGCCTGTGGAAAATGGGATCTTGGGTTTCTTTGGTGAGACTGGAGTAGACATGAAAACGCGGCCATGACTTGAGGATTTACTGGCTGAATCGTTTGGAGCATTGGTAGTACCAGGCTGCGGCTTCGTTTTGCCCGTAAAGAATGGATGGGTGCTTTTTGACTTGTCGGTTGCTCCGTCTTTCTGTTGTGACTTGGGCTTTGTGTCCTGTTTTTTGCTCGGCACAGGTGATAAATGCAGCCTTCCTTCGAGCACGGCAACAATCTTCTCGCCCAGGGCCTTTCGGTGCTCATCATCCCGTCCATACTTGATTGTAACTACTCGGCTCGGCTTGTTTATGGCTTTGGGCTTCGGCGGTGAACCCAAAGTTCCGGTTTTTGGATTGAACTTGAGTACCTTTTTCTGTTGCGCAGGGACGGGTGTTTGTTGTCGCAGAGGATCGACAAGGAGATTCGGTGTTATGGAGTTGTCCGCAGTCTGCCCAGTCGTCTCCTCTAGCGGCTGTTTCAGTACCTGCATTTCGTTGACTGTCGATAAAGCAAGGCTCTGGGCCAGCTGTGTGACTGGAATATCGCTCCCATATGCTCCATCCTTGTCTGTCCTGTTGAGATGACTCAAAATCGCCCCGCTAAGTGTTTGTTTTGCGCTCTTCCTTCCTCGTCGAGACTTCTTGGCTTCGGGGTCATCTTGAGCTGTGGAGGCATCTGTCTTCTGTCGTTTTCGTTTGGGGCCTTCAGCAGAGGTCAGAAGAGACTCGTCGGATGCAGGTTGAGTCGATTCTAGCGGTGCCGCAGGCTGGGCAGCGGGTTGGTCGGGATCGCTCTTGGTGAAGAACGGATGAAGCTTCTTGGACGACGGGTCACCATTTTCGCCCTGCACCATCGTAGCGACCAGGACCGGTCCCATTGATCCAGGTGAGACTGAAAAAGACGAGGAATTGCATTAGTACGTGTATGTGCTTCGAGATCACCAGCGCTTTTGTGTCTTTCCCACCTTAGTTCGGCATGAAGTCGCTGTTTGGTGAACGTCGATATCGGAGAAGTACGAGGCGGAGGATAGATGGAGCTGCTGTTTATATATGAATAAGCCCGAGATGCAGTAACTTAAGAATCCTCCGGGCCTCACCAGTATCCCTGCTCTACTGTCGAGTCCTCATTTGGTGCAAAGTCGCTGAACAGCCCGCGTTGTCGACTTCGATAGCAATTCGACGCGTCCATCTCCCATTAACGCGTGCACTGTAGAGCAGCAGGGATTACAGCGGATTCGCGCTATCACAAGGCGCCCCGCCGCAGCCATTACCTAAGCCACCCCACTAACGGAATTTTGCAACGCCGTCGCCAACTTTTTTTTTTTTATCAGCGATAGCTGCAATCGCTGGAAGTCGCAAAACACCAGCTATTGGACTGTACGGCTTCTCGACAGCAACAAGCATCGCCATGGCTTCCGAATACAGGATACACAAACCATACATTCTGGCGCATTTGCCGAAGCCTTTGGACCATACCAAGGGAAATATCGTAGCCAGAGAAGTGTACGGCCAGCGCGATGGCCAGAAGAAGAGAAAGCGAACCGAGCTTGTTGTTGGCGTTGACGGCGAGACCACAAGCATCTACGATGTATGAAGTCAAAAAGAAGAAGAAAAAAAGTGTGCTATTTGCAATAGCAGTTTGCTGATAATGTGAATAATAACAGGTTCCTGCTTCAAGACTCGTCACATCTTATCCAATCCCGCCGCAAGAATCGTTTACCTGCCCCCCATACTCTGTACGAGTCCGTCGAAACAACACCACCGATGCCTTGCGATACACATTCATAGCCACCGCCGACAACGGGGCTCACAAAATCACTCTATTCAAGGACGTAGCCCATCGTGACGGGAAAACGACATCGAACAGCATCTCGCAAGTTTTGCAGACCTCTGCTGTCAAGTACATCACTTGCTCTTCACCCTCGAGTCAATCCGCAAACATTGGGGATATAATCGCTGTCTGCGAAGACGGAGAGGTTGTTTGCTTGTCTGGGGAATCCCTGGCTATACAATGGTTCTCCTCTTCCAAGGCAATGCTTCAAGATTCAGTGGCTACAGCCATTTCCGAGTTCCATATCGAATATGCACTTTCAGGAAGCACTGCCGAGTTCAACGAAGGGTTGTTCAAGAATCGACCTGAAGTCTTCAGCGCTCTGCCCAAGTCTACTGGTTCTCAAGTGGAGCTTGTTGTTCTGATCTCCAAGAGCTTGAGCCAAAACGTGGAGAACCGGCATTTGATCGTGCTGGCAGCCGTATCTGGAAGCTCTTCAGCATCGGCCGACGTGCAGCATCTCGTTCCCCTCGACATTATGCCAATCACTTCAATCGCGAGCCAGGACAATGACGAATCTCCCATCTACCAGGTTGATGTACAGTCGGGCCTCTTGCTTCAGCTTCAGCAGGGAGCTATTGGTGTCTACGACTTGACGGGTGCCGTGCCCAAGCTCAAGTCGTCGATTGAGGCAGAGAATGCGCAAACCTTTGTCCGGCTTTTCAAGCCCTTCATTCTCGCCTCGTCACTAAACTCCATTGGTCTTTACAACTACCAGTATCGATCCATCCACTCCAAGGCTTCTCTGGACTGGTCTGAAATTCCAACTGATGGCGAAACACCTCGATCTTGTCAGCTGATCAGCTACCTGCGAAGCCAAGATACAGTCGTTGCCCTGGTAGAGAACATTCTTGTGACCATTCAAGTCGAGCCGCCAAAGAACCCTGGCAAACGGCGAAAGGAAGGTCTCCTGATTGACTCTATTGGGCGAGGCACTGGTCTTGAAGTGCCATTCAAGAAGATGAGATGCGAGGCGTCATCTGAGTTCAACAAATTGGTTCCAGGAACGCTTACAAGCGATTATCTCGTCCAGTTTCAAGCCGAAACAGAAGCAGCCGATAGGTTACTCGCGAATAACGACCTAAACAAGTGGGAAGACGTCTTGCGCCGCAAGTTCAACGTGCCCAAGAAGAGCACAGGGCTGCCGAACGGCGACAATAAGACTCTGGAAGGTTCCGATGTGCAAGAGCTGCCAGAGTGGGAGTGGCTGTCTGGATTGTCTTACCCTGCGGTGGATCGCAGATGGATCATTTACGCCATCACTCAAGTATTTTCAGTTGACGTGAAGGAGGTTGGTGAATCTACACGGCCAGAGCTGCGTCTCGTATTGCCCGAGAGCAATGTGACAACCTACCTTGTGGTCGCGGGCCATCTCACTCTATCCAACCTAAGAACGGCCTTCCGAGATGAACTCGCACCCGAGGCATCAGACAACCGCGCCGTTGCTGGAGACTTGATCCGGAGCCTTGCGGATGCTGATCTCTCACTGACCCTGTTGCTAAACTACCTGCAAGCAACCAAGCTGGGCGAGGTTGAACTTTTACTCGCCATTAGATCCCTAATGCTCAGCATGGACTTGATTCCCGAGGGAAAAATGGACGCCACCAAACTTTTGACAAGCGAGCCCCATGCCGACAACAGCAACAAGGACGACGATATTGAAATGGACCTGGATGATTTGGAGCGAAAGATTGCTGTCACAGAGCATTATCTGGGCGATGACTCTAGTAGCCGCTCGCGTGGATTGACTCTAGCATTCACTAAGCTCTGGCGGCTGCCTGCGGTCTCCACGGTCAAGGCTCTCCGAACAACAGTATCAACGGAGGACATTATGTCACTCATCTACCTGCTACGAGTGGAATTACTCCGCGGAGCTTGGACTTCTCTATACATTGATCCTACCAGCTTTGATTCGGAGGGCAACGAGCCTCCCCCAGATGGCGTCATTGCCCTAATTGCAGACCTCTTGGGTCGATGCCTGGACGCAGTTGGAGCTGGTGGATGGCTATTTAACGATGCCATCTCGTGGGCTGACAAGGCCGAAGCCAGCGACTTCCTGACAGCCCTTCGACTCGAAGTTACAGCTGCGCTAGAAGGCATTGAAGAAGCCGTCTTCTTGAATGGTATCCTCGGTGAGACTGTGCGATTCGGAAACGCAGCCCAAAAGGGTGGCGCAGCCAGAGCATCACAAAACAAGTCGATCCTTTTCCAGGTAGAGAACCGGGAAACCAAACTACTGCCGCTTGGCTTGAAGACAAAGTCGCTGCCTACCAGGGAGAAGGTGGTGTCGGGAGGTGAAGTGATGCAGAGGAGCGTTCGAGAGATGGGACACCTGATCAGTCAAAAGGTGGAGGCGTACTCTTTGGAGAAGCTCTCCATTTGAGCCGCAGATCTGCCCCATTGAACAGGCAGAGGCTCATACAAAGGGTCAATTGTGTCAAGCTTATTTTCTGAGGGGAAGAGAGCTTCTAGAAAGGGAGCCTTGGGGAGAGAAGGGCGCGATGGATGGTAGGATCTTTGACTAGTGCGGCTCAGACGGAGTCGGTATCTCAGTCGGGCAACTAGTCGTCGGAGAAAAAAAAAGTGAGGCTCACATGCATGGCATGATCTCATGGGGGGCGGAGAGCAAGCTTCGATGAAGGAGGCCGGATGACTTGGTTGGCAGTTTCTAATATTTGGCGGGCTGGATAATACCATTGTTGGCAACGAGATATACTTGGCGGCTATATACGGTACGATGGATAGGAGCTGATGGCCGGTTTTGTACATATCAAAATGATGATGCCGAGGGTGTTTGTATTGAGTTAAATTTTGGGAAAGAGGTACATAGCAACCTATACCTCCGGGCTTGTTGACAAAGAAGAAGAAGAAGATAATGGAATGACCACATGAAGGTACTGAAAAGGGTGAATAATTGGAGAGTCAAAAGCAGGGCGAGCAAGCATGCATGCATGACATCTAGCCAGAGTATCCATCCATATCTGAATATGCTCCATGGTATCTGAAACGGGGCTTGTGCGGGATAGATAGATGAGCATGTGATTAGTGGAAGGGTTGTTCTGTGAGGCGATGCAGCAAATTCTACTCCATGATTGTAGTAAGCAAAAGCCCTTTCTCCGAGCTGAGCTGAGGCTCTGGTGGTTGAGCTGAGGTCTTACTACATGTAGGATGCAGGTAGCTGGACACATATGAGAAGAATGGGCAGCAGACTCGAGCGAATGGGAGAGCAAAGAAATGCAGGGCTGTTCAGAGGATTGTGAGGAGAGGGGATATTACGCTGGTGGTGAAGCTCGAGCTCATGTCGATCACAGAAGTGGTGGGAGAGGTTGTCTGTGCAGAGTTGCACAGTCTGTTTACTACTAGTACTGTTGCTTTATCTAAGGTAGGGAGCGAAAGGCGAAAGGCGACAAGCTGAAGCTGCAATGTAACGCTCATACTTCTTTCTGATAAAGAGAAAATGCATGTGCTTGCTTCCAGACATGCGTCAATCTGTCCATCTCCGTCTTCGCCCTGCAGACTGACTACTAGAATCTAAGGTAACTTTAGCGCTTTATCTCACCCTCGGCGTTTGCCACTACACGTAGAGGCGAGTGGCAGTACATGCAGGCTTCGGTTTCAGCGATCGTGTTAGTACCAGATTAGTAGCAGAAACGTTAGATGCAGTGGAGTTGTTGCAGCGGCACAGCCTCACAGAGAAGGAGACGAGACATAAGACGTGCCGTGCATATGTACGTTGGCTGCGGTTTATTAACCTTAAAAAGTCAAGAATGCAGGGTCTAAGGAGTTCGTGTTCTGGACGCTTCGAGAAGGTCGGCTTATAGCGAGACGGACACGAGCGAGGTGGCAACGAAGAGGATTTCTCAACATCGTGAAGAGAAGTGAAACGAGACATGGAATCTTCAAAGCGAATTGCTTGTGACTCTGCCTCAAACCAAAGTATCGATACCGGCAAGTACCGTCAGGCAGATGCAATCTTGACGTAGCTCGAAACCCGTCACCAAATGACTACATGTAAGATGCTAAAAGGGCAGATCGGAACCAACGGGGCCGGCTGTTGCGTCAGGCTTTTCCCAAGGCCAACTGATGCTCGGTCTGTACTGCACTAAGAGTCCGTAGCTCCGTTGTAGCTTTTGGCTCCAGTGATTGATTGAAGCTCAGCTCCAGGCACTGGTGCTACCGACAGCTTCTGGTGCTGCCGCTAACTGGGAGGAACACTGACGCCTTCTAGGGCTGTTTCTGGGGCTGTTTTCCAGGTACTAGCGCTCCATAACACTCTGCACATGTGGTGCGAGGAGGCAGAGTCTGGATGGATGGGTGCAGGTAGCGACATGGTTCCTGTACCCGTGCCTGTATCAGCATCAACCACATCAACTGTGACCAAACACTTCAAATCGAGCTATGATGTGCATTCAACGATGGAAATCCTGCTGGTTCCGGGTCGCCGCAGCAGGGGTCGGGATTGGCCTCCAGCGCTTCCAGGCTCCAGGATAGCGCCACACTCACTCTTTAACTCCAGTCTCTCTGTTATTGCTGTACCACCATCATCGGTCTCTGTGGCACTAATAACAAATTCCCCCACACCAAGTTTTGGCGGGGCTGGTGCAACGACGTCACAGCCTGTGGTGAAGCCACATGTTCGTGCCATCTTTTTGTCTTTTTCCTGAACTTGGCTCGTGTCCGATTTGAGATGACTGTGAGTTGCTCAGATCGGCAAACCAGCTCGTGCATGGGTTTTGCTCATCCTAGGCCCATTAGGGATGCTTTGCAGCGTAAAGACTTGAGACTTGAGGCTTGGGCTTTGCTGAAATGGCGAGAAGTCTGGTCCCAAAGGAGGGGCTGGAGTGCCTGTTGTAGTAGCAAAGCATGATGGATGGATGGTTTACATGAAATCCATGCATGTTTTAGTCTTGATATAGAAGCAAGGTTCCTGACAGGTAGCGGTACAAGCGCTGTATTGTTTACCACCTGGGTGTGATGACCTCTGCCTCAGGTACCGACGTGATAAACGCGAGCCTTCCTTCTGCATCTCTCCCTCTCCTCTCACTTTTCCCTCTCGTATCTGAATCTCGAAATCTCCTCCACCATCGACCCAGCTCTTAAAACTCCATCCACTCGGAGATAACCTTGAATGCTTCGATTATACGAGCCCACAACTTCCGAAGCCCAGGCTCTGCTGCGCCATCTCAGCTCACTCATCGACCGCTGCTGACCAACCAGCGGCCAGTCACATCTACAGCTGCCCTGCCTATCACGAGGACGGACACACGCAAGCGCAGACGACCGTTTGTCTCAAAACTGCGGCCCAACGTGATTTTCTTTCTTCCCAAGACCAAAATATACTCAGACAAGTTCGCCTGAATCACAGACTTGGCGACTTCGACTTCAACTCGCCACAGCCGATATATATATATTTTTCTTTTTTCGACCCAGCAACATCGCATCACATCGCATCGCACCATCTGTAGAGCAAGCCGTACCAGTCCCCATAGCTATGAGCGGCACTTCTGTCGTCCAACACATCGATGCCGTCGACGCCTTTGCCAGGACCCTTCACGTGCGCACCACCCAGTCAACCGTCCCGTCGCTCTCGACAGATGCTTCTCACGCCGTCCGCAACCTCCACAATGCCCTGCGCGATCTCCGCGTCGAGGCTGCCGACCCGGACTCACGCCTAAACGCCGCAGACTCGTCGTCCTACTTGAAGCAGCTAAACTCCATCATCAAGGACTCTCAGACGACGCTGAAGCAACTCGAGCTTGTGCTGGATCTGAACAGCAGGGGCGGGGGGCCGTATGCGGATGGTGCTGCCGAGGGCATCGCTGCTGTGCAGACTAAGCTGGTTCACCAAAAGACTGTGATTGACGCCTTTTTGGATCTGGTGCGAGTTAGCAGCGCTCCGCCAAGCAGCGGCCGTCGCGGGCCCAGTCTGGACTACATCAAAGAAAAGGTCGACACCATCGGGCGCAAGCTTTTTCGTCGCGATAGCACCAACAGCAAGTCTACTGGAAGTGGCGACGACAAGCTATGGAAAAGGTTCCAGGGCGAGCTTGTCAAGGAGGGGTTCTCGTCCAAGGTGCTGGATGAGCATGAGGTATGTAGTGTATAGTCTTGGCATCGGTTGGTGAAACGTTGAAGCTGACACTCTCAGGATGTTCTGCGCGCCTACATTCACGAGATCGAGACCATGCTGTCTGCCAAAGACGGCGCTCCTCCTACTGTCCAAGGCCTCCTAGAACTTGACGGCAATTCTGCCCCCGCGTCTGCGCACAAGTATGGGCGCCATATGACATTTCCGCTCGCTGATTACCAAAAGGCCCCTGCCAGCATGAAGACTGAAAGACTGATGCCCGATCAACCTCCATTCCCTTCGCTCGCCCCAGAGCTATCTTATGACTCCCGTTCTTGGGCGCCAGCTGAGGCTGGTGGCAACGTTGCTGGCTCGTACACCTTCATCTCGACCCAGGAACTAATCATGCTGGACTCCCTCAGTACTGGAATGGCTGGCCTCAATCTGAGCAGCTCTCCGCCACAGGCCGATATTCCGTCCTTCCAACCCATGATGTCTGGCGCTATGCCGCTACCTGAGATCAAGATATCTGGGGCTACAGCTCCTCAGCCGATTCCCCAAAAGAACAAGCTTCATGTAGAGGGAACGCCTCAGATATACGGCTCCAGTGCTCCGCCGGCATATGGGGGTGCGCCGATGCTTCGTCTGGCTCCTGATAGCTACGGCCGGGATATCCCCATGGGCGCAGAATGGACCAAGATCGACCGCTCTGTCGTTAGCCCTGAAGCTCTTCACCTGGCTAGAGTGCGGTACGAAGCTCGCCCAGGCTATGTTGCCGTCCTTGGCCGCCTGACTCTCGATGAAGTTACTTACTACGCCCGCCTTAGCGCCGAACGTCGTGCTGCTCGGCATGATGATGCTGCTCGGAAAGACAAGACCTCGGGTAAACACCGTTCTCACCATGCCAAAAAGCATGAGCGAACGGGCTCAGAGAGTAGTCGAGACGAGGATTCCGAGGACGACAAAGACTCAAGCGACATTTCTGACGATGACAAAGACTCGGGTGAAAAGAAAAATAAGAATTATCCTGTCATTGTGAGCCCGCCAGAAAAGGACAAAACATCTCCAACTGGTTCCACTATGCCCAAGTCAATCTTGAAGAACAAAAACACAAATCACGTGCGGTTCGGTCCTCATCCTTATGAGGTGAATCCCCGAGCAGAAAGGGAAAGCCGTGAGCACCGAGACTCCAGCTCTAAGAAGTCTCGAGATCGTGATGAGAGAGACAGGGATGACCATTCCAAGCGCCGAGATGACAGAGAACGGAGACGACGAGACAGTGACCCATCATATGGCGACAAACATCGCAGGGATAGAGATCGTGATCGTGATCGACGAGACCGGGACAGGGACCGGGACCGGGACCGAGACCGAGACGACAGCTACCGCGATCGCCGCGATGACCGCAGGCGAGACAAGACAGCCGGCAAGACGCCTTGGGCCGAAGCACTTGGTGCGGTGGGCATTGGCGGCGCTGCTGCCAGCTTGCTGGGCGTTTTGGCTGAAGCTGCCATAGGGAATTGATGAAGCGACGTTCCGTTAGAACGCTTTTACCATCTCATGACATGACTTCAAGTTTTTTTTGGATAAGATTTTTGAAGATTTTCGCTCATTCTACAAATCTTTTGAAACAAATTCCTTATATTCTTCCTTGTATAATCATTCAGGCACTAGTTGATTGCTGCAGCGACAACTGGACCTTTTCTTAATATTGGGGGTTTGGCAGGCAAGCTATTTTGGATAACACGATATATGACAGGTTATTTTTTCGCAGTGGCTGTTTAGGAGGAGGAAAGACAACTGGTAGATACCCTGGGCTAGCTTCATCTTTTGTACATATTGACTATTACATTATGGTATGCATAGATGGATCGAATGAATCACGAATTATGACTCTTATAAACTTTTCTGTTTGCCTTCATTGTCTTTGGCATGAAGAGCCGTTTATTGACGTGTTGATCAGGGACATGGTATTGCTGTATTATGTGCAATTATGTCTTATAGCTATATAGATGTAGTTCTAAATGAGCATGTAATATCCATCAATACCCCTATTCTTATTCATATATATATATACATGTATATGTACTCTGATTCTCTGTAGCATACCAATATGTCAGATTTCTACAACATCAACTCCTCCTCCAGCGTATCCCACCACTCCTGCGCTCTCGCCTCTTTCGCCCATTCCCTTGGCGGCCGAAGCATCACGTCGGATCTCTTTCTCGGCACCCTCTTCCACTCCAGCACCTTCATCTCATTCACCCTCGGCCAGGGAAACTCCGGGTCGTCGGAGCCCTCAAAGTCCCGCGCGTAGATGCCCGACTTCTTCTGCGGCAGTGTCCGCCGCCAGGTGGCATTGTCCCAGTCGAAGCGCTTGGTGACGTCCGCGTCGGGCCGCTGCAGGACGACGTGGCCCTGGGCCGTGCGGTAGCGCACCTGCGGGTGGAAGAAGTCGGCGAACTCGAGGAGCAGGTCTGGGATGCGGGTGTGTGCGAAGGAGCCCCCGCGGGATGATTTGGTGGCGGAGGCGGACTTGAGGAGGCGCGTAAGCCAGGAGGATATTAAGTGGTGGGCGTGGTCTTTGAGGAGCTGGGCGCGGCGGCGGCGGGAGGTTGCGCGGGAGGTGAGCGAGGAGGCGAGCGCCTTGGAGAGGGTTGCGAGGGCGTCGTGCTGGAGGATCTCGTCGGCGAGGGCGGTGTGGTAGGTTGAAAGGATGGAGGCGTGGTGGGGGATTGCGTGGGCGCGGATGGTGGCGATGGCTTGGCCAAAGGAGCGCTGGTTGATGAGAGTTTTGACGTAGATGTCGAGGTCGGCCAGAGTTGGGGTGATGTTGTAGGGTGAGGAGGTCATGGCGGTCCAGATGTGGCGGACGTCGGCGGCGGAGCTGGAGGTGGACAGCTCGCCGGTTTGGATGTCGCGGATGGGCTTGAAGGGCTTTGAGGCGGAGATGTAGGTCCAGTTGAGGAGGGCGGACCAGGTTTTTTGAGGGATGGGGATGTTGTAGCGCCGGGAGACGAAGTCGAGCAGCTTTGTGCCGAGGAGGATGTGCGACATGGAGCCAAAGGCCTCGACGACGGCGTGGAGGAGGCGAGGCGTGGGCGTTAGGGGGGAGTTGGGTGGGAAATCGCGGCCGCCGGAGATTTGAATGTCTGATGTGTCGTTTTGGGTGATGATGATGCCGTAGTAGTTTTCCAAAATCATCTTTTTGATCGAGTTGAGGGAGGCGGATCTGGCAAAGGCGATCATGGAGGTGCAGAGCAGGTCCTCGTCCATCTCGTGGCCGTAGTAGAGGCCGCGGATCCAGTGGCTCTTGAAGCTCTTGTAGCCCTGACGGCGACGCAGCAGGCGCCGCATGTCCTCGTCGAGCTCGTCGGCTCTTCGGTTCCAGGGTTCCATTTTAAGGGCGTTGACGCTGAATCTGATGTTGTCCAGGTGCTTGAGGACCGACATGGGCAAGGGGTTGCGATTGCTGTACAGATCGCGCGCGAGAAAGGCCACTCTGGAGCGGTCGAACTGGTAGTACTCCGGCTCCGTCATGAAGCGGGCTTTGAGGAAGTCGGCCCAGGACTTGGATGTGCGAGAGTCTTGCAGGCCCTGAGATGCCATGGCGGCCCAGAAGACTTTGGCTTGCTGGTAGTCGACTGCTGCGCCGGCGCATCTTATGGCTACTTCGTAATCGGCTGTTGTCAAGCTGTTGGGCGGCGATGCTTCGCTGCGGATGGTGATGAGGGCTTGGACGCCTTGGAGGATGCCATGGTGGACTTTGCGAATGCCGAATTGGTTTAGCAGTTTGCCGGGAAATGTGAACTGGGCGTGGCCCTGGGTGAGGTTGAGGCCGTGGGCGATATCAACTTCTGTCGAGACCAGGGGATCGATGCTGCGTAGGATCTCTGAAAAGGTTGACGCGGGGAGCTCTCTGGCTTCTCGAACTGCTGCTTCATGGCCCGGTGAATTCTCATTGCTCAGGATGTCGGTCCACGCAGTAAAGTCCCAGCTGATTTGGGATGAGTCCCGCTTCTGTATAGACTCTAGGAGATTTCCAAGCTCTGGACAAACAGACGGTGGCATCAAATCTGGTAGTAAATGACGCTGGCTGCTGGAGACTGTGTTATGAGACGCTAGATGGCGCCGGTCTGAAGCTCGCCCACATCTCAATGGCAGAGGCTCAAGATGCTGGTTTCTGAGAGCTGCCAGGCCAAGTCCACTAAGACGGCCTCTGGGCCAGACGAGTCGTCTGAGCGTCATGATTCGGCCTGTTCTATCATCTGGCTGGTGAACTAGAACGAGGGGAATGAGACTGAGCAGCCCTCCGGCCTAGCAGTGGCACGATGCTCTAGAATCTGGGGTAAAAGTGGCTTCGAGCACTGGGGCCGCGGGTCTTGGTGAAGAAGCTTTGAAGCCATATGGGGCAGCACCCCGATAGCTGCATATTGCGGAAAAGTCGATGCGTTTGCAGAGGTGGTGCGTCTGCCGAGGATTTTCCACGGCAATGGAGGGGCAAGGCTAGCATTTTTGACAAGGCCATCGCCGAAGCTACCCAAAGTCACGGAGCAGAAGAGTCGCCCTTGCGAAGCCACGAATTCAAACCGAGCGGTCCTTTTGATACGTCTCTACGATACACACATAAATCGAAGATTTACGACGCAGCCATGGCCGATGTTGGGGAGGAGACTAGCCATGTGGCCGAGCCGCTCGATCTGGTGAGGCTGCTGCTGAACGAGGTGGTTTTCGTCAAGCTGCGCGGTGATAGAGAGCTCAAGGGCAAGCTTCACGTATGGCCAAGTTCACAGTACCTGTATTGAGGCTGGATTTATTGCTGATGCTTTGACAGGCCTACGATAGTCACTGCAACCTGGTGCTAGGCGAGGTGGAAGAGACCATCTACGCCGTTGACGATGATGAGGAGGAGAGCGACGAGGCCAAGGTATGCGAAGAAATTCGGGCTACTCTGCCGGCCGTGTACGATTCTAACGCTTTCCAAGACCATTAGCAGGAAATCAGAAATGTTGTTTGTAAGAGGTCGGTTTCGCCCCATTATCTGGAGAGGCGATGGTGTTTGGCTAACAGCTTGACAGGCGATAGCGTCGTTTTAATCTCTCCGCAAGTTCCTTTCTAGATATAGACAGCAATGGCAGCAATGATACCGATAATGAAGAGATGATGTTCCACCGAACCGCGATGCGACGAGGCGCATATAAACTGAAGGCGGCGGTGATACTATGGTCGAGATGAGTAGGGCTGCTTCAGCAACGTTTGCAATTCATCACCAGGGGCTCGCTATCAACACGGAGTTCTCTACGCGAAGACGACAGAGACTTGTGACAGGGATGGCATTGGATAAGGACGGACAGAAACAGGATGCAGTGCTTTACATTCTGGACTTGGCGATACTATGGACAAGTCATCTGCTCTGTGAAGAGATGCGCTCAATGTGTCCAATGCGCTCAATGCGCATACATTGCGACTTACTCATCTCAACGTGGACAGACATACAGGCGTTGGAATTCCGTTGATCTGGTCGAGCACATTTATGTATCTAGTGGTGGTATGCGGTAATGCCTAATACGGGAGTCGTGTCATCGACCCACAGTTTCGATACCAGCTCGCCTTATCGATAACCTGCTCCCCGGTTACTCACTACAAGCTGCTGAGCCTCGATTCAAACAGTGACTCCTTTGGCGGTGGCTGAAGCTTAACTGGCCTGGCCGAAGAGTCATAGTTGCTATTTTCGGGTGTTTTTTTATATCATTGATATATATGTGTATATGATGCTTCCCACCGCCTTTGCGCTCTCTGGTTCTCTCGCGACTCAATCATCTGTAATACGAGTGCGGCAGCTGCACGTTCCACGGCATGATGGCGACCAAGACGGCCAAGACGGCCAAGGGCCTCGAACATGAAAAGCGCAAGGGCGAATCAGTAGGTGTTCCCATATATGTCTTTCGGTGTCTCAATCTGCACTGGATCTATTCTGACGCGGGGCTGCAGGCTCTCAGCGACTTTGCCGAATATGTAGAACAACAGCAGAATCTACGGTATCCAGCCTCTGCGAAGAAGCCCGCCGACTCGGCGGAACACGATGTGGAGCTCGACGAGCTGCTCGACAGTCTGAATCTGGTCGACTCTGCGCCGCGAATAAAGCTAAAGGACCTCGTGCTCGGATCCGACGACGACACCCTGAGGAAGCTCGGCGACGTCATTGTCGAGCGAATAGAAGAGGGCGCCGGCGAAACGGTCTTTGATCTCGGGTTCGAGAACAGCGGCGAATCCATGCAACTGACTCCGCAAGAGTGGCATCAGGCGCATACAAGGATCGTCGAGGCTGCGAAGCGGGTGGGCGCAGACTGCCAGCTGCTCCTAACGACCAATGTGGGCGGCAAGCAAGAGGCGGAAAGCACGGCGACGAGCCCGACCAAGGACAAGAGCTGCAGCGGAAAGATTCTCATTCGAAGGATACCGGGCAAGATTGAGGATGTCATTGAGACGAGGATAGCTGTCGTGGGCAATGGTAAGCTCGACACTTCTCATCGTTTTATAGTGGACAGCACTAATATGCCATGTGAACAAACAGTCGACGCTGGAAAGAGTTCGCTGCTCGGTGTGCTAGTCAAGAACGACCTGGACGACGGGCGAGGGAGAGCGCGAGTGAATCTCTTCCGCCACAAGCACGAGATGGAGACAGGACGAACAAGCTCTGTGGGCATGGAAATCATGGGGTTCGACAGTCTCGGCCAAGTCGTCACTTCGGATACCCCCGGCCGTAAGTATGCCAATGATCAGCTACCGTTGACAGTCTACTGATACTGCGCACAGGAAAGCTGTCGTGGGAAGACATTGGGAAGCGCAGTGCCAAGGTCATCACCTTTAGCGATCTGGCTGGGCACGAAAAGTACCTGCGCACGACTGTGTTCGGCTTGCTCTCCAGCAGTCCCGACTTTTGCCTTCTTATGGTCGCGGCCAACAATGGACTGGTCGGAATGAGCAAGGAGCACCTGGGCATTGCGCTGGCGCTCAACGTTCCCGTCATGGTCGTCATCACCAAGATTGACATTTGCCCTCCCAACATTCTCGAGCAGACCATCAGCCAGGTCACCAAGATTATGAAGAGCCCCGGTGCCCGAAAGCTGCCAACCTTTATCACAAACCGCGAAGAGTGCGTCAACACGGCGACTCAGTTTGTCAGCAAGAGGATATGCCCCGTCTTCCAGGTGTCCAACGTCACCGGCGAGAACCTCGATCTTGTGCGGCTCTTCTTGAACATGCTGCCTCACCACGGGCACTACCACTCGGACGCGCCATTCGAGTTTCAGGTTAATGACACGTTCTCGGTGCCGTTCACTGGTACGGTCGTCTCTGGCATTGTCAAGTCTGGCATGGTGCACGAAGGCGACAATGTTCTGATTGGGCCGGATTCCCTGGGACATTTCACTCCCACGGCAGTACGTTCTATCGAGCGAAAGAGAATACGAGTGCATGTGGCCGAGGCAGGGCAATCGGCCTCGTTTGCGCTCAAGAAGATGAAGCGGCGAGATGTCCGCAAGGGCATGGTGATGCTTCATAAAGAAGAGGGACAGACTGGGCCCAAGGTGTTTCAGGAATTCGTCGCAGAAGGTGAGTCAGACACATGTTATCCGGTTCAAGTATATATATACGATGTGATGGCAGCTAACCATCATGACAGTTCTTATCCTGTCGCACGCAACCACCATCAAGAAGCGCTATCAGGCCATGCTACACGTCGGTGCCGTGTCGCAGACATGCGCTATCATCGACATTGACCGCGAGCTGATTCGCACGGGCGATCGTGCCAACGTTGCCTTTCGCTTTGTCCAGCGTCCAGAGTACATTGCCCCCGGAGATCGGCTGTTGTTCCGAGAAGGCCGCACTAGAGGCCTCGGCATTGTCAAGTCTGTCGGGTACGATCCCAAGCACCCGCTGATGAGCGCTCCAGAAGATGGGAACGGGGCAGCTGAGGAAGCCGAGCAGCAATCTGTAGTTGGAGAAGCGAATGATGTGCAATCTGTGGTTGGGGAGGCGAATGATGTGGCGAGCGGGACGTAGATGTGCTGAGCGATTAGCACGCCGGCTGCCATGTTTATTATTACACTTGGTTTCTTTTTCCCTCTTTTTGTTTTATTATTTTTTTCCCCTTTATCCGTGATAAGCGATAGAGATGTATGGTTTTCATCCTTCTATGTTATAGTATTCGTTATTTGATAGCGATGCATGAGAACTCTAGCTGCCTCGTGTTTGATTATATCTATATAATTATGTTCTGTTTATCGAGTATACCTACTTCAGTGCGCATTTGCCAAAACTTGCTTTGGCAGTTCCAGCAGCTCTATAAAAACTTCGTCATCCGCACATTTCTCATCGAGATACATGCAAATCGCCTTGGCTTCCACGACGCATCGTCGACGCAACCACCAACTCTCGAGGGGCACCACGAGGCAGTGCCAGTATAAGAGGAGGAGCAGTGCCCGGTGGTCCTTCTCCTCGATGAGAGACCTGTATTTTGGATCAATGTGCGTGATGAACGTGAGGAAGAGGATGGCATTGTGGTCGTTGATCTTGTTTACCCACAGGATAGACAAGATTACGCACGCAGAGTGATAGGGCCTTGCGTCCGAGTCGACAGTCGAAGCCGACGTCGAGGGCGAGAGGTTGAAAAAGGAGTACAGCAGCGGCGGTAATATGCCCGGACTCACGGGGGCCTCCGTGTCAAACGTCTGCTGCATGGGCGTGTTGTGCAGCGTCTTGTGGAAGACGCTCTCCGGGCGCGACGGGTCGGCAATGTCCCAGACAACCTTTTTCCCGTAGCCCATCTTGAGCCAGTCCAGGTCGACGGCCGGGTTCGGGTCGGCGAGGGGCCACGCGGCGAGGGGGTCCTGCGTGCGGACGGAGGCGAAGGACGTGGCGCCGAGGATGGAGGCGCAGACCCAGAGGGCGTCGCGGTGGGACGAGGAGAGGGTTGTGGCTGGGGAGGGCAGGGCGAGGAAGTGCTTGAGGATGGCGGTGCCGTGGTACCAGTGGAAGGCGAGGGAGAGGTCGTGGGAGGGGTGGAGGGGGGTTGGGGAGAGGTGGGTGTCGTGGAGGAGGGTGATGGCGAGGAGGACGTGGATGAGGAATGCGTGCTGTGGTGTTGTTAGTTTTGATGTATATGGAAGTATAAGAAGGGGGGAGGGTTGAAGAAGGAAGAGGACATGAGAAGAGAAGAGGTATCATGATGAGAAGGGGGTATCAGGAGAGACATACTTCATCTACAAGGCTGTACAAGACTTTGAGATATCCCGTCCTCGTGGTGGGAGTCCCCAGTGTACACGCCGTCCTGTCGTAGAACCGGCTCAGGGCGGCATGGTCCTCTGGCCGCAGGGCATATTCGCCCAGTCTGCCGTGCAGAGGCAGGACGATGGGGATCCGCATGCCAGGCTGGAGGTATGCTTCGCGAAAGAGGCCATCGACAGATGTTGATGCAGATGCTGCAGGCCTGGCTTGAGTGGGAGCGAGGCTGAGTCTAAAAACGCTGGAGCGAGAGAGCTGCAGAGTTGGGCCGGTGCTGGAGTAGCTGCATGTGAAGCCTGATGCGAGACAGCGGCGGCATGTGGGCTTTGATTCATCGCACTATGAGCGTGTAAGTCATGATGTGCCTGATATGGATATGGGTATGGCAACGGCTGATGTCATGTATGTGCTACGGTATATCACGGGAGACGGGAGACGGGAGACGCGGCGGGAGAATGCATGAGAGGGAGACAATGAGAGCATGAGATTTACTTTGACGCTGCGAATCTTGCAGTTGCCGCAGCCTAGGCGAGACTTGCGATGAGTCTTGCGTTTGCGGACCGTGATGCCGTTCTGGTTGGCGATGCGATCGGCCATTGTGGGTTTGGGTGAGGTTGGAAGTCCGGCCAGGCCGGATCGGGCCGGAGGTAAAGAGAGGCAAATACGAGTAGTATAGGTCTTCAGTATGACCGCGTATAAGTGATTTTCGCCTTTGGTCCGAGAAGACGAGTGCTGAGATGGAGCTGGAAAGTGGTTCTTTGTGGAATCTTCTTTTCTACATGTATTCTAGAAGAATTGTGGCGGGTTTGAGTTTACGTGTTACGTGTATAGAGT